ATATCTACATAAATTACAATGGCGCTGCGTGCAGAGGCCACTAAAAGGCCAAAACGGGGCGCAACATTGCATGATATGTGGGCATTTTACAACACTGCAACACAGCAACCACTATGAATTTGTTTATGCATATTGAAACGAACTGTTCCTGCCGCCTGCCGCTTGCCCCCGGCCACAGCACAGATCCTCGCGGCGCCTTAACAACTCTTTCCACTTAGTCAAGTCGTGTATACCCTGTGGCTATAAAAGAGAACCCTTATATATTTTATTGATATAGTAAAAACCGAAGCGGAAGACCCTTAAGTGCATATTTATAGCTTAACTCTCAGCAAATATATGAACTTCGACTCTAGAAGAATTTAGTTATTTATTCTAGATCTTCCAGACTGTCTGCTTGCAGCAGCTGTTAAGGCTAGGGAAGAGGTCTTGCCATCTAATTTATAAAAAGAGAAATCTGTGAAATTTTTAAATATTTATAAACAAGTGAACATTTATATTAAACAGTAGAAGCCACGCTCTGTCAGAGGTAGAAGGTTTAAGCAACAATTAACATAAAACCCTCTTCTGTTGCTATTAAAGGGCATCTGCTAGTCGAGTTAAGGCACTTGCACTTCTTTTGTGGTATATTTGTGTTGTGTACCGAGTCGCTGTAATTGCAAATTCGCCATGCCACATGTGGCAGCGTTGCACGAGGTCGACGACTACATTAGCAGCTCCGTGTGGGCGACTCATCTAGTATATCTTTTGTGGCTTTTGTGTGTGTTGTTGGTGTTTGGTGTGTGTGTGTGTAAGTGTGTGTGTTGATTATCTTCATGTCTGGCACGTGTTGTGGCTCATTTAGTGCCTGGCTGTTAAGTGCCTCATCCAAGCCCAAGCAAACACTTCTGACTGCGTGGTGTGTGTTTGCGTGTGGCAAGTGGAGCTGCTGCTGTTGCACTCATGTCCGGGCGGATTTAAAGCTTGCCACACAGCGCTTGATCTTGTCAGTGTCAGCGTCGAGTGGCCATCAAATTAGCGGCGGATATGGCAACGCTGCGTATTTGACAGCTGTCAAATTTATTCATGCTCTACAATTGACTTTGTCTAAACGCAATGACTACGCACTTTGGTTATCAACAATTGGCCATAAATGTTTATGCCCAGCTTATTTTATACATTCATTTTTTTCTATTCTTTTCTGCCCTGATTTCGATACATTTTTTTTATCAGCACAAAAGTCAATAACTGATTGCGAGGGAACAAAAAAATAAAGAGGAAATAAAAGAAATGAAGAAAAACAAACAATGCTTAAAAATAACTTAGCTCCAATTGGATTCTTTTTGGGCGTGCGAGGATGTGTGTGCGAAGGTGTGTGTGTGGGTGCGTGTGTGCGTGTGATTACGTGTGTTTAGCAGCGTTTTGTGAGTAGCTTCTAGAGCGCCTTTAATTGGCAATTCTCATTGCCCAAGTCGCATTTTTTTTAACTTTTTTTTTTTGTTTTTTGGCCGCGTAAACAGAATTCATAAAGCTCGTGTGATGATGCGTCAGCTTTGGCTGGGCTAATCAGCACATTGAATCACAATTGTTTACTATATAAACAATAACAATAACAGCAATAAAAAGAGAGAGAAAGAGAGGGAGAGAGAGAAGGGGAAAGCACAGTGCTCTGATAAGAACAATTATGAAAGCAACACGGGCCGATTCTTAGTTTTGTGTGGGCGCAAAAGTCACGCAACAGTTTGGCATAAGCCATAAAACACACCTGCCCCCCTCCCCATCCCCCTCGCCCTTCTTTTCATGGCAAATGCTGCGCTCTGACTAGTCAAGAGACACCCACTAAATATTTAGACTATTTAGGAATTAGCCAAAAGCAAGAAAAGAAACACAAAAGCAACTAAATAAATATTATTCACGTGTTATATTTAGATTAGATATTAATTGGAGCAGACAGAATAGTTGGGCTGACTTTCTAGATTATGGAAATAGGTACAAACTATTTAAGTATGCTAGCTAAATAAAGAAGAAGGCAAATCGAGCTTCAGTCAGATGAAGGCCAACATAAAATTGGCAACAAATTGAGTTAGGTTAGAAGAGAAAAACTCTCAAAAGCTGAACTCAACTAAAGTTGTTTTCTTTTAAGCTGATTTATTTCAACTGCTCTTTGTAAACATAAAAAGCAGTTTGCAGTTCTTAGCCAAGTTGAATGCAAAACGAATAACTTTTTGTTCTTACTCAGCCTGGCCAAAACAGAGGGAAAAAATCAAATATCAAATATTTATGCCACAATTTCGTTTAAAGCCATTCGCAAATATTTTCTTAGGTTTAACTTTTGCTGATTGGCATTAAAAGCATTTTAAGAACTCAAAAGTTGTCAAAATTTAACACATATCCATCCATTCATATCCATCTATATATCTATCCATATACCTATTTATATGTCTACTCTCTCTCTCTCTCTATCTGCCCTTTTCTCCTTCTATCTCTCGCTTTAACTCTATCAAGCGATCCCTCTATCTCTCGATCTCTCTCTACTACACGCTGTCTCTCTTTCTATCTCTCCCTATATTCATCTCTATCTCTCTGCCTCTCCATCTCTATCTCTCTCTATCTATCTCTGTCTCTCTCTCTCTCTCTCTCTCTCTATTTTTATTTCTTTTTATCTCTACTTTTCTCTCAACTTCTGTCTCTTTTTTTATATGTCTCTCTCTCACTCTCTCTCTCTCTTCCTCTATGTCTACCACTCTGTTTTTTCTCTCTGTCTCCTCTCTCTCTCTCTCTCTTCTTCCATCTCCCTCCCCCTCCCTCTTTTCCATCAGCTACTTTTATTCGCCTGCTTTAATTGATCTGCTTAATTTTAGTTTTTGTGTTTAATGTGTTTCTGCAAATTGCCCATCAGCTGTTGGCTGCCAATTGCCCCAACCCGGACCGCCCCCCTCACCCCGACCACGCCCCTGGGCAGCTGCCATTTGGCTGCGCTAAACGTTCCGGCTGGCATCTGGCGTCCAGTCAAGTGTCTGTGACCTGGTATTTCGCAGCTTGTTTGATGGATTTCTAAGTGCGTGTATTGCGCTGATTTTTCAAAGGAAAAATAAAAAAAAGAAAAATCGAAAGAAAATGAGTCAAAAAAAAAGCAACAGCTTTGGGGAACTATTCGTGGAACTGCTTCGGGCGCAAAAGTGTCGCGTTTAATGATTAATTAGCTGATATTTCGGTGTCTTTTGGCAGTAGTTGTTGTTGTTCTTGTTCTTTTGTTGTTGTTGTTGTTGTGTTGTCTACGTTCGACTGGGAAATGCCTCCAAAGCGTTGACTCAGCGCCTCAATTATTCATGCACAGTGGCCCCTGAAAGTATCTGTCTGCAATTTGGCGTGGAGTGTGTGCCCAACTAATTCAAAGTTCGAGATGTTGTCGTTGTCATTGTTGTTGTAGTTGTTGTTGTTGTTGTAGCTGTGGCCCTTAAGTAGACACTTTTAATTTGGCAGCTGTCCCAAGTGCCTGTCCCCAACCCCAACCCCCACTCCCGCCCAGCCACGCCTTGACACTGTCACACCCCTTTGACAGCGCAGCATTTGTGGCATGCTTTATTTACTTTGAATTTGCGACGTAAATATTTAATAATTGAGTCCTTGGCACACAGAGCAACAGAGAAAGAGAGGAGGGGAGAGGGGAGGGGAGCGAAGGGGGACAATCAACAACAATACAATTAGAGCAACAACAACAACAGCTGACAAATGATGCTAAGGTTGAACTCTTCCTCTTCGTCCCACTGTTGTCTGCATCGCGCATACGACCTGTGGCCCAGGCCAGGCCAAGCCAGGGCCTCGCTGCATTTGTGTGTGTGTGTGTGGGTTTTCCATTGGAAACCTGTTGCACAGTTCAGCGCCTGCTGCTGACGTCAGCAGTGTGTTTATCCTCTTTATTGATTTTCCGAGCACCCATCAAATATAAACCCAAACAAGCTACACTGAGCGAAAAGGCGTGTCGAATGGAAAGTAATTGCATTTTTTTAACTGCCCCAATGTGAGTTCATTAAAAGTCACGAGTGTGTTGTCATCGTAGACACAAGCGACCAATAATATTTTGACAAGACCAATAATATTTATTTTTATCTATATATTTTCTCTCTCTCTATTTGCTACACTCAGCGAAATGTTTGGTATTGTGCCAGAGTTTAATTGACTGATGATTAATGTGCTTATGTTAGGTAATTCATTTTGTCTTCTATTTTTGACTTTATTTGTAGGCATTAATATTAAAAGAAACTAATCATTTTTGATATGTTTGAGAGTATAATTTTAGAGAGCTTCAAGCTGTAACAAGCTGGTTCAAATCCATGTATACTAAATCGCTACTTAGACCAAACAAGTTCTTTAAAATATAAATGATATTCTTTTTAAAAACGATTTGTTTCAAAATATGACAAACCCTTAAAACAGATCAAAGTAGATCCAAAGTATTTATAATAACTTTGGCTCCAATCTTTGCATTTATCTAACCATAATTGACAGATGCCAATTTTGGCTAGAGATCGAATCTAGCCCATAACTTGCATATGAAAATATGAGGGTATTGCAATATTTTCAGTGCAACGGGCAATAGTATGTTTAAAAACAATTGCTTGACTGAAATATTAACAGGTTAAAAGACAAATCAAGGTCTGAACCAAAAGTTGGGCTCGAGAATTAGAAAAACCAGACAGGAAGCTGCTTCTAACTGTAGATTTAGAGCCCTGCACATATATATCTAGAGATATATCTTCTATAAAGATTTTGGCACATTGCAAGTTTAAAAAGTTCTCAGTTCGAAGAGATCTTTCCTTCCCTGCCCTCGTTCATTATTATTTCTAGAGATATATCTTTAAGAAGTTTATAATTCGTATCAAATATTTTCACAGTGCATTCGCTACACTGTGCAAAACAATCGCATCATATTCAAAACAGTTGAATTTCCGTTTAAAGAGAATTTAGTTAAGTTTCCCAAAGTATGTCCCACAAAGTATAAATATATTTATGCTGAGACTCACCTTTCTCGAGGCTGGCATTGCAGAACTTGAGCGCATCGTCCAGGCGATTGAGATGCATGCAGCTGGTGGCCTTCTCGATGATCTTCTTGGCCTGCAGCTCGGCGCCCCACCACTTCTCGACCAGACGCCTGACGAGCACGTCCGGCATGAACTTCATGGCCTTGGCGCCGCCCAGCGCATAGCCGCCCATGCCGGCCACCAGGGCGGACGCGGAGCTGCCGGAGGCCATGGTCGTTGTGGCCGTTGCTGTCGTCGAAGCCACCGTTGTGGTGGTCACCGTGGTGGGCGCGGGCACGGCCAGACGCAGGCCGAGTCCATGGGGAAAGCTGCTGCTGACGGGCGCAGGCGGTAGGCCCGGCATGAAGCGCGTCGATGAGCTGGCGATGCCCAGGCCCAGGCCCAGGCCAAGGCCGAGACTGCTGCTGCTGCTGTTGGAGGAGGTGAAGGAGGAGGCGGAGGAGGTGGTGCTGGTCAAGGCCACGCCCTGCGGCAGACGCTCAGCACTGCGCGGAAACTTGACATGGCAGATGTTGCACTGCGTGATCGCCTCGCAGCACTGGCCACAGAACGTGTGCCCGCAATTGGTCGTCACCGGAGCGCGCAGCATGTCCGCGCAGAGCGGGCACAGCAGCGGATCGTAGTCCTCGCTCAGCGCCGGACTCGGTACGCTTAGTTCTCGCGTCGGCGCATGCAAATCCAAGTCTGTGCCCGGCAACAGCTCCAAGCCCAGCGTGTGCGCCGTCCACATGTCCACGTGCTGGCGCATCTGCTGGTATCTGGATCTGCGACTCGACTCCAGCGCCTGGCTGGCCGATGGCACGCCCACGCCCACAATGCCGCCCAGCTGGCGTATGTGTGCGGTGAGAGCGCTGGCCAAGACCGCCAGCTTGTCCAGCGGCACGTGTCCGTCCGGCTGCAGGCTGGCAATCAGCTCGTACACATTAAACGCCTGCGCCAGGCTGCCCAAGTGGGCAAAGGACTCGCCCAGCAGAAAGGACAGCTGCTGCGAGCTGTTGTTGTTGTTGTTGTTGTTGCTGCTGTTGTTGTTGTTGTTGAGCAGCAGCGCGTGCAGCGTGTGCGTTGAGCTGGACAGCGGCCGTGCAGCAGCGCCCAAGTGTTGCTGCTGCTGCTGCTGCTGTTGCAGTTGCAGTTGCAGTTGCAGTTGTTGCTGTTGATTCTCCTTGCGCAGCGCTTTCAGTGCGCGTTTGGGTGCCAGCGAGGGCTTCATGTAATAACCCTGGGAGAGCGGCATCCTGACAGCTGTTGCTGCTGCTGCTGCAGTTGTTGTTGTTGTTGTTATTCCTCTTGTTGTTGTTGTTGTGCCGTGTAGCTGGCCGTTGTCACGTATGCGACGACGACGTCGGCGTCGACGCGACGTCGCAGTAATGCGCGCTGTTAATGAACTGTTTTTCTTTTTGCTTTTTCTCCTCTTTTTTCTTTATATATATATATATTTATTAAGTTAAGTTTTGTTGCCTTGAATGTCTTTTTGTTGTTGTTATTGTTATGCGTTTTGTTGTTGCCTTTTTGTCATGCTATTTTTTGTATTTTATGCACTTCACTTGAGCTCTTCATATCAGCATCTGGCACCAAATGTATAATTCAATTAATTTGCTTATATGCATGGATTTATATGCTCGCATATATATATATATTATTTTTTATATTTTATTCAATTTGTTTTGGAGAGCGACGACGCGTGCGTTGCCCTTCGCAGTTTGACAGTCACTGGAGTTGGTTATTTGTTGCTGGCTGGCGCTGCTCGTGCTGGATGTTGGGCGTTTGGCGTTTGGTGTGTTGTGTTTGGTGTTTGGTGTTGGGTCAGCGGAAGCGACGACGCGCTCGGTTTGGCATCTGAAAGCAGAAGACGAGACGAGACGAGAAATGAAATCGACTGTGTGTAGAAATTTTACGTAACGTACAAAATGCCGTTTTGCGTTTCTGCCTGATTCTGTCTGCCGCCATCGCAGCTTTTGATTCTGTTTTATAATTCACACGCACGCACACACACACACATACACACACACATACATGCATGCACACAGGCGCACACGAAGAGCGCCAATGCGAGCGCGCAGCCGAAGAGCGCCCGCGCCTCTCTCTCATTTAGGCTTTCGCTCTCCCGCTGTTTCTCTTTGACTTAATTTTCGCTTTATTGCCTGCGCTGCGCTGCCTGTTTTATGACAGCTGCAGCAACAACAGAAAAATAAGAATTACCGTATCTATTACCGAACCTGTGTGCACGGCTCTGCTATCTCTTGTTACTTGCATCTCTCGGCCAGTTCCGCTCTCTCTCGCTCACTCTCTCTCTCTCTGTCTGTCTCTCGTGCAGTGACGTGACATTTGTCGCGTATGCTGTTAATTGACTGGCCTAAAATTCTGAGCTTTGCAGCTGCCGAGCAGCCCCACAGTTTGAGACTTTGGCGCGTTACATAAACGGTCAACGAACTTGCCGCAAAGAGCAGCGACTGGCATTAAAACTGTGTGAGTGCTTGGCACAGCGAGTGTAAGTGATTTGGGGCTGTGTAGTCTAGCCCAATCAACACATTGACACTCAATTTTTCAATTACCAGCGGGGCCGCACATGTTATTACATAATATTATGAAAATTAACACTGAATCACGAAGCAAACTGACGCGGACGCTGGCGCAAGTAACGAAATCAAAATCAAAATCGTCGAGACACACGCACGCACACACACACATACACACACCCGCTCGCACTCACGTAGTCAGGCAGCAGGCACAAAAACAAAGCAGAACGTTCGTTCGCCCGCCTTTGCCCGCACTCGGGCAATAACAACACGAAGAGCAACAGCTAAAACCCAAACAACGCCACATTTACAGCAGCAGTCGCTCTCTTCACACACACAGTCACAGCTGCTGTTGCTCTCGCGCTCGCTGTTAGCGCTCTTCAGAACTGTTCTCTCAGCTTAAGAGCAACTTCTGTGTGCGTGTATGTGTGCGCGTGTGTGTTTCTGTGATATTGCGAGTGTATTGCTGCTGTCGTTTACATGCGCACGTTTTTCTTTGATGTTCAGTTTTTGTATCTAGAAGATAAACAATGCCGGCACAACACACCAGCACATACACACTGACTCACACACACACAGACACACACACGCGCATGAAGAGCGTCGTGGCCATTGGCAACGCTCGAATGTTTTTGCTTTTGTTATGTAAACAATATTTTTCTTCGCTTCATGTTGGCTTCTATTATTTTTTTCGGTTATAATTTGTTTACATCTCGCATCACACACACACACACACACACACACACACACGCATAAACAGATAAACAGCTACAGATACGTTTTCAATGTAAAACGAAAATCAAAGTGTGCCAAAAAGAAAATTGCGTGCAAATAAAAATGTTGATTTCTTGTTGCTGTTTTTTTTTTTCATTTTCACTTGACCATCTCGTCTGATTATGCGAGCATGGCCCAGTTGCTTTGGCCGACTAAATATTTAGCATAAAATATCATGTTAAGTAATGCCGCAACATTGTCTATGTCTATTGGTAGTTGGCCAAGAATATAGAAATACGACAACTGAATATATGCTCGCCCGAAGGTTCTTATACATCTTGTTATTTATATCAATTTGATAGCTCTGCGCCAACAACAAAGGCAACAATCGGATTGAATGATTTCGAATAAACAGCTAGTTGCAGAACATATTCGAAATCGTTTCAAAGAAATGTGTCAGGGGTATATAATAGACGCCTCTCACAAGGAAGCACTTCACTTTAGTTTCCAAAGCGTTTATGCAATGTTTGCGCTTGTAATTCTCAAGTGGTTCAAGCGCCGAGTCTCTCAAGACTCTCCGTTAAGATCAGCAAAGCCTTTTTAGAGTTCATTTCTAAATATTCAATGTTTACTCTAGAGCAACAGTTGGGAATAACATCAATATACGATTCTAATGAAGTATTCCTTTTTATATATACTATATACTTGCAATTCTCAAGTGATTCAAGCAGCGAGTGGTTTAGAAGCAGCAAAGCTTTTCTAAGTTCAATAATATTAGGCATCTACTCTAGAGCTACAGTTGGGTATTACATTCATATAAGGTTCTAATGTAATATCGCTTTTATATGTGTGTTAGCCAACACTGTTTATGTGTACTATACGCTTGTAATTCTCAAGTGCTTTAGGCGCAAAGTGGCTTAAGACAGCAAAGCTTTAAAAGTTAATTTCTGAATATTCTGTTTATTATACAACAACAATTCCTAAATAATTTACATCTACATATAAAAGATGAAGAAACGTCACCTTAATATGTGTGTTAACTAACACTGTTTATGTGTAATGTTTGCTTTTGATTCTCAAGATAAAGCACAGACTGGCTTAAGACGCTAATAAGGTCAGCGAAGCCTTTTGGAATTCATTACTAAATATACTCCCTTTACTTTAAAGTAACAATTCGCATAAACATAACATAAAGTATCGTTTTGATATGTACGTTAGCTAACACTGTTGTTGCGCACTGTCTGCTTACAATTCACAATTGGTTAAAGCGCAGAGTCTGCCATAAACATGGGACAATGCGTAAATGTGTTGAAAAGCAACAGCTTTTTCGCATGTAACTCATACATATGTCATGCTGCAGACAGTTCTTGCATAAACTGAACTGGCGACCCTTCTGCTGGCTGTTATTGAGTAACATGAGATTGGTTATCAATACGCAAGGCATTTATATAGATACATATATTTATATGGACGTAGCTCTTACAAAATCAACCTTGAAATACTTCAAACTGTGGGTCTAGCCTTCCAGGAACCACTTAAAATCACGTTATATTTCATAACCGTGTCGATATCGCTTCATAGACTCCGGCTTCCGCTCCTTCCACTCGGATGGGGGCGTGTGTGTTGCCAGAGACATTCAGTCAATATGTGTGACGCATTTGATGCGGTAAAAGTTGTTGAACAACTTTCAGTCGCTCGATTCTAACAGGTCTCGCTTTTAGATAATAGACCAGGCAGGCAGGCCTTTGCGTAAGTACAAATTATGTATACGACTCGTGCAACAATGTGCACATGTGTGTATCTAGATGCAATCGCTGACTGCGCGCGTGTGTGCGACTGTGTGTGTGTGTGCTTATATGACCTGGCAATTGCATAATACTTATAACATCGCTGATAAACGTTCCTAAATGAACTGTAAATATATTGCTATCTCTGTCGTTGTTGTTGTGCAAGAATATGCGCTGATATATGCAAACATACAAACTGCGCTTACATACATATTATATACTTTGCCAGCTTTTCAACTATTTTGCTGTTCTTCTTTTCTTTTTTTGTTTAGCTTGTATTATGCAATGTCAATCATATTCCGCGATTGCATTTATCGTTGTTGCCCGTTGTCGCCAGCGCCTCAGCCAACAGACGACTTGGCAGCAAATGGCGACAACATTCTGAGTCGGAGACTGGGTCTACGACTTGGCCGAGGGAGGGGAGGGGGGTTTACTTGGACTGGAGCTGACGGAAACCGAGACAAAAACCAATTACAACGACAACGACAACGTCAACTGTTTGTTGTTGTGCAAATACTCTGTAAATACACATACATACACACATCCTGAGCCATGTCTAAAAGGGGGTTAAACATGGCTGCTTGCATAATCGCTTAATACAAATCTAGTCAGAGACTAAGCTGATAATTGCTTCCGGTCTAATCTAAGCTAAGGGCGCTATTTCAAATAAACAATCTATATATAAATACAGCTATATATTTTTATAGATGGCAAGTTGAACCGCACTGGTTCAAACCCGAACTGAATCTCGATTGGAACAAACTGACAAAATGCTTCGATACCAAACATAAAACCAACATAGAAAACCTTTAAACCTTTGGCTTTGATAACATAACATTTGCCTTCCAACCAGATTGTTCCTATAGACACTATATAATATTGCTATATAAGAAGTGGAGAGGAGTAGGAGGAGAGGAGTATTCACTGTTGATATTAATCAAGTGAAAGTACATTTGTAGATCCTGCTCTGTCAACAGTTTGCGTCGCTTAAAAGCTAGGGTATCTGTGAGTCGTGCTTGCCAGCTAATAACGAACAATTGCACATTGCCTGTACTTGTTGTTACTTAAGTCAATTGTTGTGGGTGGCGACAAGAAATTGCCATGAAATGCAATGTCAAATGCAAATGGGCGAAAGGTTCCACCACACGGCGCTCCACAAGTGTGTGTGCGTGTGTGTGTGTGTGAAAGGCATGAGTTTTTGGGCCTAATGAAATTACATAATTGCTGTGATTGTCATTCAATAAACGGGCAGCAAAAAGCGAGCTGCGAAGCGTTATGAAATCGCCGCGAACTTATTATACACAATTTTTCATTTTCACAAGCAATTTTCTTGGCTTTTGTTGTTGTTGCTAACTGATTTGTGCTTTGATATTTGCTTTATTGGCTTTTCATTTGCTGTTTTTTGT